TATGATAAACATATGAGAAATGTAAACTGCAGAGGCGCACATGGAAGCCTTTGATACTGAGATAGGCACTGCATTTGGGACTGAGTACCTAGCTCTAGTAGAAAAACCAAGAAAAAAAAAAAAAAAAAGAAGCTTAGAAAAGCCCAGTCCTGGGATGGGGATGTGGCTCAAGCAGTAGCGCACTCGCCTGGCATGCGAGCGGCCCAGGTTCCATCCTCAGCACCACATACAAACAAAGATGTTGTGTCCACCGAAAAAAACTAAAAAATAAATATTAAAATTAAAAAAAAAAAAAAAAAGCCCAGTCCTTTCCCAAGGACTGGGCTTATTTATTTTTAGCACCAGGGATTGAACAAAGGGGCCCTTAACCACATCTCCAGCCCTTTTTCATTTTTATTTTGAGACAAGGTCTCGCTAAGTTGCTGAGGCTGGCTTTGAACTTGAGATCTTCCTGCCTCAGCCTTCCAAGTCTTAAGGATTACAGGTGTGGGCCACCGCTCGCGCGGTCCAAGGGCTCATTTCTTTCTTTCTTTTTTTTTTTTTTTAAGATGTTTTTTTTATTTTTATTTACTTATTTACTTTAGTTGTAGATGGACACACAATACCTTTATTTTTATATGTGGTGCTGAGGAGCGAACTCAGTGCCTCGCACGTGCAAGGCCAGCGCTCTACCACTGAGCCCCAGCCTCAGCCCCCAGCCCCGGGCTCATTTCTAACACTCTCCCCTGCTCATCAGGTATCTAGGTGACTAGCCCCAGGCTTACCAATAGCGAACTCCACCAAGGTCTCATTCTCTTCCGACAGAGAATCGAGGAATAAATCCACGACTTGTAGTTGCCGCAGATACTGGTAGTTGCTGGGGTCATAGGCGAAGTTGGCAAGGTTGGCGAGGACTTGCTCCTTGGCGTCTGCGAAGGAAAAGAAGCGCTGGAACCAGGCCCAGAAGGCGGTCGCGGTCGGACTCCTGAGGGTTCCCCTGGCGCCCACCCGCGCCTCTCACCTTGGCTCTCGGTTTCCTGGAATTCCGTGACCAGTGCCTGCAGATACCCCAGCCGCCCGACATGGGGGTCTACCTTCGGCTTCTGGGCCATGGTCGGGGCCGCGGAGGGCTTTCGCGGGACCGATGGGAGAGGGGAAGGCGAGGCCCTAAGTCGGGCGAGAACCTCACCTGGCTCTCCACGGGTGGACAGGCGGCACGTGGGCTTCTTTCCTGGGTTCAGGTTCGGCTGGAACTTGAAGATGGAACTGATGTGAAGGCCGAGGAGTTGGGTTCGAAAATCCAAACTGGGAGACTAGGGGGCGGCGGCCAACTGAAGCACCGACTCCCACTCCTGAACCCCGGGCGGAAGCCGCGCTCGACCCACTCTCAGGGAGCGGAAGGGGCGGGCCGGCCCCGGGGGCGGGGCTTCCGCTGAGTTCCGCCGAGTGCGTGCGCCGAGCGCTGCCCCCGGTGCTGGGGCTGCTGCGGTTGGGCACCGTGCGGCCGTGTACGAGGCTGCGTGGTGAGAGGCAGGTGGCGCCTCCAGGGCGCTTGGGAGCGCGCACAAGTCGAAGCCCACGCGGCTTAAGCACGTCCATACGCCCCACGCCCGCCTTCTCGATCCTCTGGAGCGCGGGGGTCGGCTCTCTGCGCCCCCATAGATCTGTTGCCCTTACGGTGGCCCCTCCAACCCCCAAACCCCCGTCGGGACCCGTGAGGATCCGCCACCTCTGGCCAGAAATCACGGGGACTGGGTCAGTCCTAAGGCTCTTTGTCAGCCAGGCGCAGCGGGGCAGCAATGACGAGCCCTGAAAAGCGCCTCGTTTTGCACAGAGGTAAAATTCTGGATATTTTGGACGCTGGAGCCGATTGACCTGATTCCTGTCAGGGGTTTTCAGGAAAGTTTGTGTGATGGGGGTCTCATGATCGCAGATGATAGAGGTGGTAGAGGTTTCGTTTGTGAGCTTTCTGAGGACAAGGGACCGTGTACCTTCAGCTCTGAGCCTGCCTTAAAGCAGAGTGGCCTCCACACTCTGAGGTTTAAGATCCCTGTGATCGGCCTCTACATGACACACAGCCTCAGGGCAGGGGTTTTGGCCTCAGTCTGGGTGGTTGGGTTCCCTGGCTGCTCAGTGAGGGCTCCAGGCCTTTGGGCTTCTGTCCCGAGCCTGTACAGGCTCAGGGAAGTGCATCTCAGCTCAAGGTGGCCAGGGCTCTTCTCTGCCTCTCCCTGGACAATAGAAGCAAAGGCCTGGAGTTCAGGCCTGAAGGTGAGCCCCACCCTTCCTCCAGGAATTGTCCCAGACAGTTTCCATGTAATCAACTGAGTGGGTTCTGGAGTCATGTGGGTCACTCCAGTTTCCCTTTTTTATGTTTGGTTGCTGGGTTTGCTCTCCACTAAAACACTCAGGGGTCACTCCAGGGGAACTGGGCTAATTGGGCTGCGGGAAATAACCACACAAGAGACAGAAATACTTTTTTTTTTTTGCGGGGGGGCGGGTGCTGTGCCTGCTCCTCTGACCTTAAGGGTCTACAGAAAGAGAGAGAGAGAATGTGCTGACCCCTTTTATTGAAGAGAAGCTATTCAAATAAGGCAAGGGGTCATGTTTCAAGGGGCTGAGTCTAGCTTCATGATGTCTGCTGTCAGCAGGTTTACTGACATCTAGGAAGGCCACACCCAAGGGCACAGTAAGAGAAGGAGACATACAAAAGGCATTTCCATGGAACATTCTATCCTAAATAGGGCAAGGGGTAATATTACAAAGGAACAGGTGAGCATAGCTCCACCCATGGGGCTGTAGGAAGGCACATTCATGCACGAGACACAGTCACCCTAGAAGACCAAGGCTATCCAGCAGCTTGACCAGTGACCACCGCTGGCCACACCGCTCAGCAGGGGAGTCAGACCCAGTCACGTGCTAGTCAGCCTCCCACATTTGGTCTTGTCCTCTTCCTAAGGCTTCAGGGACCCTCCTCGTGAAAGAATTCTTAGTCCTTGGTTTTGGGCTGATGACAGCGACCAGGTCTTATTCCTCTACCCAGTCTGTGGCACAAATAGATTTTTTTGTGTGTGTGTGTGACGCTGGGTATTGAACCCAGGACCTTATGCATGCAAGATGCAAAGCAAGCACTCTACCAGCTGAGCTATATTCCCAGCCCCACAATAGATGGTTAATTAATATTTTCTTATTTATTGGACCATTCCACTCCTCTTGGTTTTTTGCTACTCTTGTGTGGAGACAGGAGAGGTCAGAATTCCCTATGCTGAAGGTTCCTGGATATATTTTTTTCCTTATATGTTTTCAAGAAGTGGACCATTTAGGAGATACACAGCATCTCAAAACTTGATGGACCTACCTACCAGCCACACTTCTCTTCTTCACTCAGTTGAGATGGAAAAATGTATCCCTTCAGAACACAAGCTACAGCTATTGACCAAGCTCAGTTGGGTGGGAGGCAGAAAGGCAACAGGAATCTTAAGTATACTCACATAATCAGACTTTTCAGATTGGAAGAGATGTTGGCTCATCCAAGATAATCCCCTTTTTTCAAGGCCCAGAGATAAACAGTTTGCCCAAAGTCACACAGTAAATTGTGGCTGAGTCAAACCTGTATCCCAGCCCGGTGTCCCTTGCCATATCTCTGCACTACCTTCTCTGGCCATAAGAGGGCACTTGTGATGGGTCTTGGGACACCACAGCCCCAAGGATGGACATTCAAACCAGATAGACAGGTGGAGGAGGAAGGCTGGCATCAGGTCATAAAAACAAAATAATTTTTCTTGATAAGGTTTTCTTGATGGAGCCTGGTTGAGCCTGAATCAACAAACATGGTCCTAAGCTCAAGCAGCCCCTGCCAAGCTGGGAGAAAGGAAAGGGGAGGGAGGAAATTACTCCAGACCTGTTCTCTGCCCTTATTAGTTCAGAGTTTATGACCCACTGCAGGGAACATTTTTGTGTATAATTCAAACAAACTCTGTTTTCCTATTCCCTGGGGTACCCTGCTGGGACAAGCCTAGGCTGATGACAGCCAGTCCTAGGTGATGACTTCAGAGAAGGGCAACAACAAAGTGGGGATGGACTGGCACCTGGCCCAGCCTACTACTTGCCCCAGAAGTGACACTTCTAAGCACCAGGGAGAAAGGGGTTCTCTGGAGTCAGGGAAGGTTACATGAAGTCTTCTGTTGCAAACAGCCCTATTTCTCACAATGGTGCACTGCCTGGTGAGATTTCGCCTCCCTGGGTCAGCCAGATGTCCTGCTTTCCCCTGACCCAGCATCACTTTTCCCACCAAGGCTATAGGGTGGGCCAAAGGAGGAGGAAAGCCCTGGAGTAACCTACTGGGATGACAAGGCACCCCTCAGGCTTTCCCAATTCTGGGACCCAAGCCAGGGATTCCCCTCCTCTCTACATAGGTACCAGGATGGACACTCCACCCAATTTTAATCTGTCTCCATCCTACATCTAGGCCCACTCCTCAGCCCTGTCTTCCACTACTGCCTGTCCCAGGGCTCCAGTCAGCCAAGCCCAGCCAGTTGTGTGGGGGCAACCACATCCACAGTCTTGGCTGCCCTGAGGGTGAAGATGGACAGGAGGGTGAGCTCTTCAGAACTGTCTGGAAGCCATGGAAAGATAAGCAGAGCTGATGTTGGAGGTATAAAGGTTTGGCGTGAAGGTCCAGTGTGCTGGGTTGTAGGAACGTCATTCATGGCCCACGGCACACTGAGCTTAGTTGGCCCTGATGCATGGAGCAGGGCTCAGACCCACCTTCTGGGCCCAAGGAGGAAAGCCCATTCCTGGTTTCTGCTGACTGGAAGGAACTTTGTGTCTTCAGAGACTGGCCTCCAAGTTTCCAGGTCCTGGCTGAGTCCCAACTTGCAGAGCCTGGACAACCTTCAATCCAGGCCTCCTGAGCTATCTTCTATACCAGCACCCTTCAAAGCAGCTGAAAGCCCTGTTCTTGGGTTGAGAAAAGGTTCACTGAAGGCTCAGATGCTGGTCACACATGTGACCCTTGAAGCTCAGACACTGGTCACATACATGACCTCAGAACACAGATGCTTCTTGTGATCGTCCTTGTCTTCCAGGGTTGGATCCTTTACTGGAGTGGCCTCTGAAATGGCTCCTTTGGCCTTGGCTTCCCTGCCCCGCCACTCCTTCTTCTGCAGGGTATAGAAGCTGCCACCCATGAAGAGGGCAGCTGAGATGAGGAAGAAGCTTGACATGAAGAAAACGTAGCTGAAGTTGTTGCTGGTGTCCAGGAGGAACCCTGGGGAGCAGAGAGCAAGTTAGGCCACTGTCTGGGGCTACTACAACCCACCCCCCACACTGTAACTGTTCCTTAGTGATAGGAGGGATTTTATTTCTGACTCTGCTAGATAAGAAATTATTGCTGGCACCCACCAGGGACTCATTAGATTATTGAATGGAAGGAAGGGAGGAAGCAGTAGGCCTACCCTGGCCTGGTCAGGAGTCCTCAGACTGGAAGAGAGATTTTGGGCATGACTCCCTTACCCTTGGTGTCAGGGAGCAAGGAGACAAGGCTAGCAGAGTCTGAGATGTCTTCTGAGCCTCCTCCCAGTCCCATCCTTATCCCCTCCTGGGGAGCTTCCTCCTCTTACTTGCTTGGGGAACCCCCTTGGAAATCTGGACATCTAACACACACTGTCAGAGGACTGGACAAATCTTCCCCCGTTTACTATCAAAGTCACTCTCAGCTGCCCAGCAAGCTGTCCCCCGTAGGTCTATCCTTCCAAATCATGTTTTCCTTCCCACATAAGCCACCACTGTGGTCATAACTGTCTCTTTGCTTCTACTCTTGACTCCTCCATTGGGAGGTAAGCCCCATGAGGATGGTTTTGGCCATGTGCACCCAGTGACTGGCCTGGGTGAATGAATGTCAGAGCAGGTGCTCTCTTCTGCATTTTTGCAGTCTTCATTGTGGCTCAGAGAAGGAAAGTGACTTGTTTGGGTCCCACAGGTAGGGAGTAGGGGAACCAGGGTGCTAATAACAGTAAGTGTGGGCCCAGCCCTTATGCACTTGGCTCTCTACTAAGTTCTTTACTGAGAGCCTCACAGCAAGCCCATGAGGCGGATCCTATTATCATTCCCACTTCTCTGAAAAGAAAACAGAGAGGAAGGTGGAGTCAGGTCTAAGTCTGGTGTGCAAATCCATATTTTCAACTCTTCGTACCCTGTGTGCTAGGTGGGGAACAGGCTATAGCACGGTTCCTGGGTGCCTGGGGTAAAAAGAATCCCAAATCCCTGCCCTTGGAAATGAGAGTGGACTAGGCCCACATCTGTCTGGACTGTTCCCCTTTGCCCCAACCCCATACCCTGCCCACCCAGCTCCCACCTGGCTGCCCTCCCTCCCAGGGCTTACCAGCCAGTGGCGGGGAGATGAGGGAAGCGATGCCACTTAGGATGGTGAAGAGGCCCAGGGCGCTGGGGAACCGATCCATGGGGACAGTGTCCATGAGGACCTGGAAGATGAGGATGCCAATGCCACACATGGACAAGCTGTACACCAGGCAGTAGCCCACCAGCACGCGGAAGTCCGCGGACACTGTGCACACCAGGTTGGTGAGCCCGTTGAGCAGCACTGCCAGGCTGAATAGGTACTTGCGGTAGCTGGCAAATCTCTTCCGGCCTACCACCAGCCCCGCTGTGGGCCGCAGGAAGATGTTGCAAAAACCGAAGATTGAAACAAGCAGGGCCGCCCTGTCCTCGTCTACCCCATGCCACCTGGCATATGGGACCAGGAAGACATGTGGCAGCAAGAAACCTAAGCTCATCCACGTCACTCCCAGTGTATACACGCAGTAGCCCGTGTTGTGCCACAGGATGTCAAAGGCCAGGTGGTGCCGGATGATCAAACCACACGTTGCCAGGCAGCCACGGGCAGTTGTCTTAAAAGGTGGAGCGGGAGTTGCTGTGGTCTCAGGGGCTGTGTTGGTGGCCACGGGCCTCATGATGGCTCCACAGACACAGCAGTGGAGAAGGACCCCGCCGATGACAAGGAAGGTGCCCCTCCAGCCCAGGTCTTCCAGGAGGTAGTTGGCAAATGGTGGCCAGAGGGTGACGCCCAGAGAGACACCCATGGAGGCCAGTGCATTGGCCAGCACCCGCCGGCGGACGAAATAAAAGCCCAGCATAGTGATGCTTGACTGGAAGCTGAAGCACATGCCCAGGCCTGCAGGGTGAGAGAGGCGACAACTCAGGGTGTTCCGGGGCCTTCCACCTGCATCCAGAGTGGCCACGTCCCACATCTGCCTCCTCACTTTTAGCCCAGACTGACTTCCAAGTTCCCATGCACTGAAGATGGGGTCTGCCTGTCTCTCCACCTCCCTGTAAGCACCCCACCCCTCAGGTCTGCCCTCCCTGGGCTTCCAGTGGCACCCCACTTAACACCTTCCAAACACTTCCCATCACACTTGGAAAACATCCAAAGTATTTACTACGCCCTGGCAAGCTCTGTGCAGTTTGGCTCTGGCTCACCTCTGGGATGCCATCTCAGGCCACTCCCTGTTGCTCACCAGGATCAAGCCACATCAGCTTCTTTCTCTTCCTCTGGATACCAAGCTGCTCCTACCTTAGAGAATTTGCAGTTGCCATCTCCTCTGCCTGGAATGTTCTCTACTCAGACATTCCACTTGCATCCCAGCTCAAAAACTACTCCCCAAGGGGCCCTCCTGCCTCCTCACCTGCTCTGTTCCTGTTTAGCTGTGCTGCTAGAGACAAAGTTCAAGATGACACATGACCACTGGCCCCTAATGGGCCCTTGGGCAGCTCCTAACAACACTACGGGCTTCCTTGGACATTCACTCATCTTCCCCCTCTAGGTGACCATTTGGGCCTCTTCTTCCTCTGTGTGTTCCAACACCTCTTCCCCAGCCTCACACTCAGTCGCTCATCTGGGATTATGACCCACCCATGCAGTCAGAGGCCAACCCTCTACTTCTCCCTGCAGCTTGTCCACTCAGACACATGTCCAGCAATCCCCCTCTCTTCTGCAATAGCCTTTCCTCCCATCTTTACTAGATCATTCTCCTTTATTGTATTTCCCCTATTATTAAAAAACCAAACCCTTTTGATGCCACAACTCCTTTTGGGTTCTAGCCCGTTTCTTTGGTCCCTTAACATAGAAATGCTGGAGAAGGAGTTGGGGATGTAGCTCAGTGGTAAAGTGTGCAAAACCCTGGGTTTGATTCCCAGTACCACACACACAAAAATGAGTTGTGTTCTTTCAGTGTTGCATGCCTATAATCCCAGCTAATCAGGAGGCTGAGGCAGAAGGATCATAATATTGAGGCCAGCCTAAGCAGTTTAGCAAGACACCATCTGAAAACAAGAATTAAAAAGGTTGGGCCAGGGGGGCTGAGGATATAGCTCAGTTGAGCTTGCTTCATATGCGCAAGGCCCTGGGTTCAATCCCCAGCACCACATACACATACACACACACAAAAAAAAAGGTTGGGCAGGGTGCCATGGCACATGTCTGTAATCCCAGCAGCTCAGGAGGCTGAGACAGAGGATCACAGGTTCAAAACCAGCCTCAGCAAAAGCGAGGCCCTAAGCAACTCAGTGAGACCCTGTCTCTAATTAAAATACAAAATAGGGCTGGGGATGTGACTCAGTTGTGGAGTGCCCCTGAGTTCAATTCCCAGGACCAAAAAAAAAAAAAAAAAAAAGATTGGTTGTAGCTTGGTGGTAGAGTGCTTGCCTAGCATGAGTGAGGCCCTCAATACCATACACACAAAAAAAAAAAAGAAAGAAAGAAAGAAAAAAAGAAATGCTGTAGAAAGTTTTTTGGTTTTTTGGTGGTGCTGTGGATGACCCCAGGGACTCACACATGCTAGGTGTATATCTGTTATCTTTAATCCCCTCCTGTATGCTCTGTTTTGTTTTTTGTTTGTTTGTTTGTTTTCTGTTTTTGGCGACGCTAAGGTCCAGGTATGCTAGGCAAGCACTCTCCCACTAAGTTTCACCACCACCGCCATCACTACCAGCCACTGGCTGTTTTCTTTTGGACCTGATTGATCAGACCTTGACCCTCACCTCGGCACCAGACTAGCTCTTATCAAGGTGTCCAAGGCCTCATTGCTGCAGAGTTCCTCTGGCTCTCATCTCATCTGACCCATCAGCAGCCTGGCACACTTCAGCACTCATTTTTTATTTTTTATTTTTTTATTTTTTGGTTCTGGGGATTGAGCCCAGGGGTACTTGACCACTGAGCCACATCCCTAGCCATTTTTTTTTTTATTTTAAATTTTGAGAGAGGGTCTCACTCCGTTGCGGTGGCTGGCCTTAAACTTGCAAACCTCCTGCCTCTGCCTGTCGAGTTGCGGGGATTCCAGGTGTGCAGCACTGTGCCAGGAATTTTGTCACTCTGGAGAAACTCTCCTGACTCTTCTGCCTCCCAGATCACTTCTTCCTGTCCAGACCTTTGAGCTGGGGATAGCCTGGGCTCAGGCCTCTTCAGCCACCAACTTCACTCCCTCTCTGACAGGAGGGCGATGTCTCAACTCGACTTTGCTCCCACAGTGTGGGGACTCCTGAACTGCCTGCCCCAGCTCAGGTCTCTCTCTGGAGCTCCAAACTGGACCTGTCCAAACCTGAGCGTCCCATCGCGTTTCCCCCCTATAGCTAATGACTGCTCCAGTCTTTTAGCGGCTTAGGGAAAAATCCCTTGTGTCACCTTTTTGACTCTTGGAACCTGGGGTCACCTTTGGCTCTTCTCTCTGCCCGTCACAAGCATCCAGAGACTGACTTCTCCCCATCACTTCCATCTGCTTGGAATGCTCTTACTCAGATTGCCTCAAACTAGATTCCCTCACGCCTGTTCAATCTCTGCTTTCTGTTTTGGTTTAGTGTCCCCCAAAGGCCAATGTTGAAGGTTCAGTCCCCAGCATGGTGCTCTTGGGAGGTGGTAGAAACATAAGGGAGTGGGGCCTAGTGGGAAGTCTTTGGGTCATTGGAGGTATGACCTAAAAGGGGACAGTGGGACCCCAGCCCCTTCCTTTCTTTCTCTTGCTTCCTGACCATTAGGTGAGTGGTTTTGCTCTGCCATGCTGCCTCACCACATGCCTCAAAGTAACAGGGTCAACTTGATCATGACCCTGAAACTGTGAGCCAAAAGAAACCCTTCTTCTTTATAAGTTGATTATCTCAGGTATTTGTTATAGTAACAGAAAGCTGACTCAAATGTCACCTTCTTTTTGAGGCCCTCCCTGACTATGACTAGCAAACTCCCCCTGCCTGGTTATATTTCCTACACTGGCTGTGCTAGATATTTATCTCTTGTTTCACATCTGCCCATGCCCACCCAGGGCCATGATGCCTTCACATCTTCCATCCTATCTTCTCATGCACCGTTAAGATTAGGAACATCTAAGCCTTCTTATATATCTGTCCATTGTCCATCTTCCAGTGGACTGAAAGCAGTTTCAGAGAATTAAGAGGCTTGTCCACCCTATCCACACCTGCCTGCCCCTTCAGAGAAGGCCAGTTACCTGTGATTATTCCTGCTGTAAGGTACAGCTGGCTGAGGGAACGGGAGAAGGAGCTGGCCACCATGCCCAGGCTGGCCAGCAGCCCACCCAGCATCATGGTCACTCTGCAGCCAAAGCGTCCCACCAGGATGCCGCACAGAGGTCCTGTGGGGAGGAAACAGTCAGTAGGCGGCAGCGGATGAGAAGGCCTGCAGTCCGGGGGAGAGGGTTTCAGTAGGAACTACCCAGGTGGTTCAAAGTGTACCCTCCTGGCATCTCCTACCCTGCTACAGCGTGGCAGTGTGGCCCAGGCAGATCTTGGTCCTGCCCTGTGCCTCAGTTTCTTCCCCAACGGAGGAAGGGGTTGGGCTGGATGATGCTGACCCCGATAAGCATCCCCAGAGGGGCAGACCCAGGCCCTGCACTGTGCCCCTGAGACCAGTCCTGTCCAGATGAAACTGGACTGGTTCATGGCCATATCCAGGGACGTCTAAACCATGGTGGGCACTTCCAGTCCCACTTCTATGCTGCCCCCAATCCTCTGGAAGTCTGGCCATCCTCCCTCGCCTTTGGATTATGTAGTTGGGTGGGGCCCTGGACCACCTAGTACCTCCTTGCTCTGGTCTCTGGAGTGTTCTGGAGAAAATCAGGCTAGGTACCTTCTCCTCTCTCCCATAATGTCCAGCCACCATCAAAATCCACTCCTAGGGCTGGGGTGTAGATCAGGAGCAGAGTGTGCTTAGCATACACAATGCCCTTAGTTCAATCAAAAACAAAAAATGCCCCAAACCCCGACCTAGGCTCTACTTAGCTCTATGTGGAGAGGGCCTGCCACTCTATCCCAGTGGGGTTTTTTTTTTTTTTTTGGCAGTCCTGGAGATTGAACCAGAGGGTGCTCTACCACATCCTTAGCCCTTTTTATTTTTAAAAATTTTGAAACAGGTTCTCATGGAGTTGCTGAGGCTGGCCTTGAAGTTGCAATCCTCCTGTCTCAGTCTCCCAAATTGCTAGGATTACAGGTGTAAATCACCACACTAGGGCCCCAGTGACTTTTTTTTAAAATTTAAACCAGCCACACCCTGCCAGGTAGAAAGCAGCTAGTCCAGCCTGCAGATCCTGGGGAAGGATTTGGTTGCCTACCTGTCCTCCCGCCCACCCTACACTTTCCCCAGGACCTGGCTCCTCTGCTAAGGCCCTATAAAAGCCAAACCCTCTTGGGGGCCAGATGCCATTTCCCCCCATGACCTGGCTCTGCCAAGGCCCTATGAAAGCCAAACCGTTGTGGGGGCCAGATGCCATCTCCCTCAAAAAATGTTCCCCTCCGGTGCTGAATAAAGCATCACTGGTCCATGAGGTGTTCCTCCATTTCTTTTCTTTTCTTTCTTCTTTCTTTCTCCTTCCTTCCCTCCTTCCCTCCCTCCCTCCCTCTTCCTTCCTTCCTTTCTTTCTTTATTCTCTTTCATGCGCTTTCACTGGGCACGTCGTAGGGGCCACATTCACACAGTGCCCTGCCCCCAAGCACACATAATGGAGCTTCTCCAAATTACTCTCCCAGAGTACAGCCAGAGGGACAGAGAGAGCGTGTGTGCATGGAGTGGTGCGAGGGGGCCTGTGGTGTGAAACAGTGAGGCATAAGAGCAACGGTGAGCTAGCAGCCCGACCCAGCAGTCAGGAGGAAGCTGTGGCCCGCCATCCACCCGCTGCGCAGGGAAAGGCAAGGCTGCCGGTGGGTGTGACCGCTGGTCCTTGCTTCCTTCCTGCCAAGGAGACTTTGGCCTGACAGGGAAAGGTGACTTTGGGAAAAGCCCTGAGTCACTGACTAGGGGGTGGGGCTGGGGTGGGGACCTGGAGGCAGGTGTGTCCCTGCAGGGGCCACTGCTGTTTCCCCACTCCCGCCTGCACTCCACTACCGGGGAAAGCCTTGCACTTGGTACTTACTGCTTTCCTCACCTCTAAGACGTGTGGGGCAGGTGAGCCAAAGGATGATGATGCTTTTGTTCAAGTTTAAGGTTTCTACACGACTCGGACTGAGTATGGGCTAAAGATTGTGTGTGTATGTGTGTGTGTGTGTGTGTGTGTGTGAGAGAGAGAGAGAGAGAGAGACAGACAGACAGACAGACAGACAGAAATCTCACACTGATGGAGATATTGGTGCTCTGGGCTGCAAGGCCTAAAGCTGGATGGGGAGTGGCGGTCCTCATAGGATGCCTGATCCCCAGCCTCTGGCCCAGGCCCTTCTCTACCTGCATGAGAAAGAAAGATTCCCACTGCCCACTCCAAACTTGGGTCATGCTGAGTGGGCCAAGCATGACCTGTCCCCTTGCCCTGAGTCCAAGCTTGGGGCAGCAGATTCAGGGGTCATTTTGGAGGGTGCTGATTCCTCCTGGTCTCCTCACTCCCAGTGCCAGGAAGGGAAGGACCTGGAATAGCAAGCAGGCTGCTGGTGCCAGGTAGAGGGAGTGGCAGAGAGGGACGCAGGAGCCAGGGCTGCTAAGGTAAGCAAACAGGCACCCAGGAGAGCTCTGTGGGTGGTCGGGTCTGGATCCTGTTGACCAGTCACCCTCCCACTGGGGTCGCCAACTGTGGAGTATCCCTGGAGAGCTCCCAGGAGTCCAGGGCAGGACCTGCACCCAGGGCTCCCGTGAGAACCCTGCTGGGCACTTCCTGCCCTGCTTCCATCACTGGGGTCAGGGTGAGGCGGGCACATTCCTGGAGCTGTCAACCAGGCTCTGGGGCCTCTGAGCAAGGAGCAGGGAAAGTGGGGATGACCTTCCCTCCAGGCTCCAGCCCTTGCAGCCTCCTCTCTGCAAGAAGCCCTGGGGAGAGGGGGGGGCCTTGGCCTGCCCAGTCTTGTTCCTGGCATCGTCCTTAGGTCCCTCTTCCCATCCTGAAGCCCTGAAGAAGGTCTATAAAATACTAATGATTTGCAGCTCCGTATGTTTCCCCGGAGCCCACGTGGTCTTCCCTATCATCCCATGCAGCGGCTGTGAAGGATGCGGGGTGTTACCTCCTTGTAGCAGAGGGAGAAAAGATGTTCCAAGAGATAGTCCAGCCGCAACATGGTGGAGCCATGTCTGCTGGCCCCAGTCTGGTGCTGAGCGCCCCTGCATACCTACAGTCTGGCTCAATCCTCCAAGGGCCACCAAGAGGACTCTCTAGGCTCTTGGCTGGCTTTGCACCTCAGGTGCCTCCTCATTCTCCCCATCCCCAGTCCAATCTCCTGGGGACACTACTCAGTCCAACCTAATTCCAGTCAGGGGGGGCCAGCCTGCTGAAATTAGATGAAATTTTAAGAAGGTACCCAGGAGAGAAAGCTTCTGTGACTTCCTCCCCATCCCAGGCCCCTTTTGTCTCCACCTCACCCCATCCCCAGGCTGCTCACCCCCAGCATGGAGCATAGCCATCAGGATGGAGGGGAACCAGGAGGTCTCACTGTTGCTGGCCTGGAAGTCTCGCTGCAGGTCGGTGAAGAACACGCCTATGCAGGTAGGGAAGGCCAAGGTGAGAGCCTGGGTCACCAGGGAGGCCAGCAGTACCACCCAGGCCCAGCTGCCGTCCGCGTGCTCCAGAGCCTGGGGCATCCTCTTCTACCAATACGGCCACAGTCCTGTTCCGCCTAGTGACCACTGCCTGGAGAGGGGACAGATGGAGCCTGGTGGTGGGCAGGCTGCCAGCCCTCCCTCAACTCACTGCCGTCTTCCCCGGGTGGCTGAATCTGTCTCTTCCTCGTGCTGCAGCACCAGGTATCACAGAGGGGCACCACCCCCTGGGAGGTGGCTAGAGGCCATACCTTGGCCTCGGCATCTCCTTTCACCCACTTCCCAGAGACAGCCTGGCAGGAGGAGGCAGGAAGTGCTGCAGGGGTGGAGCAGGCAGTGACCAATGGCACCAGGCTGCTAGGTAGAATTCTTTCCAGTAGTTATGTCACCTGGCGGTCAGCAGGTAGAACCTCCTGAGACCACTCAATAAATACTTATGAGCAGGATTGAGCAGGATGCAGGTGGTGCCTTGGTAATCCCAGTGACTTGGGAGGTTGAGGCAGGAGGATCACAATGCTAGGCCAATCTGGGCAACTTAGGGAGACCCCATCTCAAAACAACAACAACAACAAATATATATATATATATATATATAGTACCAGGGTTATTTAACCACTGCCCCACATCCCCAGCCCTTTTCATTTTTATTTTATTTTATTTTTTATTTTGAGACAGGGCCTCACGGAGACTGGCCTCAAATGTGTGATCCTCCTGCCTTGGCCTCCCAAATTGCTGGGATTATAGGTATGCACCACCACGTCCAGCCAAAATTTTAAATGTGGCCTAATGGTACAGCACCTCTGGGTTCGATCCCCAGAAACAGAAAAAAGACAAAAAAGCACTGATAAAGTGCACTTCTAGGGCCAGTGAAATCCTAATGTCCCCATAGGTGCACACAGATACATTTTCCAGCATTCTTGACCAGGCTTCCTAAATATTGACATAGATTTTCACAATGCCACACGAATTGCCTAAGTTCATTGTCAACACTGCTGGGAAGGCCAGGGTGAATGGGCAGGCACTGAGTGTATGCAAGGAGTACACAGTTTGGCTTGACAAGGGCGTGTGACCAGTGCTGACCTGCAGCTTTTAAAGATAAGGCAGGAGGTTCACTCCAAGGCTACAAAGAGCTCAAGGCCAAGAGTCAAGTTCCATGATCTGTTCAGTAATGATCTGCCACCTGCAAAGGCTCTTCTGTCACCCCTACCACACATACACACACACACAGAGCCACACAGGCATGGATACACAGAGTCACACACAGACACACACAGGTACACAAACTCATATGAAGACACACACTCACATAGACACACATAGAGAATTCCAGACACACAGACACATACGTCACTGACATGTAGACACACATGGTCACACACACTATGCAGCCATATGTACTCATCCAGAGGCACACAAGTAGGTACACAAACACATTGGCAGTCACACACACAGTTACACACAGAGATAAACACACACGTGTGCACACACACTCACATCTTTGCTCTGAAAGAGCGAAGCCGGGCGTACCTCGTTCAGCACCACTGCCCAGCTCACTGCTCCCATCGGAGGAGCCTCTGCAATTCCTCCTGACTCACTTCCTGCTCCCTGCCTAGGCCTCGGGATCTCACCTACGCTCAGGCCTCTGGGCTGCGACAGGTAGGGAGGGAGCAGCCTCTGCCTCAGGTAGGACCTCAACCTGCTGGTCCTACAGCCCTCCTCCCTTTGGCCCAGGGCCTTAGGAGGATCCCAAGCCCCAGAGAGATATTTTTCTTTTCTTTTCTTTTTGAGGTGGTGTCTTAAACTCCTCAAGTCATCCACCCACTCAGCACCCCCAGGTTTAAATTTAAAAATAAATGTATATTTATTTTTAAGAATATTGTTTTAGTTATAGTTGAACACAATACCTTTATTTTATTTATTTATTTTTATGTGGTGAGGATCAAACCCAGTACCTCACACGTGCAGGCGAGTGCTCTGCCGCTGAGCCCCAGCCCCAGCCCTGGGCCCCTGGGTTTTAAAACAGCATCAAAGCTGCTCACACCAAGCTGTCTTCTTCAAGGTTCCAAACCTCTTCCCTCCCAGAGGGCCCCAGAACACCTGCCCAGGTAGGAAGCACCTTACCACAGTCTCAGGGTGTGAGCTGAGCGTGTGTGAGCCTGTGGGTGGGGCAGGGCGTCTCCTGCTCCCCTGGGCCTGCGTGGCACACTCAGCTCTAGAGACATCCCAGCCCTGTCTTCCTCTGGTGGTCCAGGTCGGCAGCGACAGGTGCCTCACGTGGGGCTCCTCCAGTAAACTGGTTCTTACCTCTCCCAAGAGCTCTGTTCCGCCAGCAAATGGTAAGGCCCCAGGTGCTGCTGGATTCCCTGGTGCAGCCCCAGTGCCACGTTCCACAGCCTCTCCTCAGGTAGGACCTCGACCTGCCTCCCCTACCTACCGCCTACCTACCGCCCCTCCAACCTACCTTCATACCCAGCACCCACCAGCCTCGGGCTCCGCCTGCCCCTCCCAGCTTTCTCTCCTCACCGACCTGCTCTGGTCCTTCTTGTTCTTTCTTGTCTTGTTCCCTTGGGGGACAAGGCTTATGAAATTGTCACTTTCCTAAGCAGCCTTTTTGGGGACTTTGCCCATGCCGCTGGGATCTTTTCTCTATCATCTTCCCCCATACCTGTCAGTGGGGGGGGCTGGCTCCTTCCTGGTGTCTCCTCTCCCTAGGTCTCTGGAGGCCCGATCCTGGGGTGCAGCCTACGCAGCAGAGTCAGGGGACCCTTTGCACTTGACTCAGTTTGTACCCACAGGGAGCTGTGTCCCAGCTCTGAGGCCCCAGTCTCCCTCTGGGACCCCCTGCACACTCCACCTTCCACAAGGGGACTGTCCCTTCCCGCATTGCCAGAATTCCCTGGTCACAAGCATAGCATTTACGTCCAGTTGGTCTTCCAGTCCCCTCCCTTGGCCAGATGGTTCCTCCTTGGCTGCCAGAGAGAATCTGGTTGTCCTTCAGGATTCAGCCCTTGCAGCACCCCTAGGAGCCTTCCCTGACCCCACCGCAGGTGGGCCAGGTCCCTTCCTGTTTGCTATTCTGAATAGTGGCCTTCACGTCACACTGAGGGGAGTCATCCCTTGTTCCTTTCACTAACATCCCTCCTACCCTCTTCTCACTGGGAGTCGGGCCTGCTGCTGAGCACAAAAGATCATGTCCACGTGACCCACCTGTGTTTCTGGGGGTAGACAAGCCCAGGACCAGGGGTGACCTGGCTTCCTGGAGGGCTGGTGCATTCCAGAGGACTTAAGTGGGACAGAGAAGTGCGGAGCCTGGGGGCTGCTCTCACCTCTGCCCTGGCAGGAAAGTGGCCTTTCCTTCGCACTGGGAACCATGAGTCATGGGCATTGATGGGGCAGGATTGGAACAAGGAGGGAGACAGAGCCAACACAAGGTCTGTGCTTAGCTTCTAGACGGCCATCTTAAGTGACAGCCCCCATTTTAAGGAAAAAGTTTGGCTTTCCTGCCCAAGGGCCTTGCTGAGAAAGGCTCACCACTCCCTCATAACAACCCAACTCTTAGCCACCTGCATTAGGACCCACCTGGCTCTGATTCCTGAGTCTCCCCATAAAAGTCCCAGAACCCAAGTCTGTCCTGCCTCTCTCTTCCACAGAGAGAGGGCCTTTATTTGTCAGCTCTGACAGATAAACTCTCTAGTGTATCTCTGCCTGGTCTCCGTTTTTCGTTTCTCACTCGCTGGTCTCTGGTTCCTCGCTTTCCCTTCAGCCAAGGCACTTTGGTCTCACTTCCTGTGAGTCGGTGTGAAATGGGCCACAGGAGCTGCCGACCTCAGCTCTCAGGGACACCCCACCCAGTGAGACCAGCTCCATAGACAAGTACCTTGAAGCTGGGTTTGTGGGCAAGACAAAAGCTCAGATGTTTCTGGTCCCTCATGTCATGTCACAGTCTAGTCTGTGTCTTCATCAGATGGCGGAGCCCTAAAGACATAGATGAGCAGGGTCATCAGATAACCTGATCTTCAAGGCCTTCATAATCCTTTCCCTACCTCCTTGAAGCTTGGAAGCTTCGTCACAAGGGTGAGCTGATGCTCTCAGACAGGGCCTTGGGGCCACCTATTGTCCAGAGGGGAGGGCAGCCTCTTTCCAGCCACGGTGGACAGCCCTCCTGGGAAGTACAAAAAGCTAGGCGGCCTGGTGAGCCCCGGGACCCTTCCCTCCCGAGATCTCATATTGAGCAGGCTCTGGTGCCTGGAGTCCAGGACACAGTGGGGAACAGAAGGGTTCCCACCCATCAAGAGAGCTTGGGACTGTCAACTCCCTGAGCCTGGTCTGGGAATGGAAGGGACAGAAGTGGCTCCAGAGGTTGGGGAGCTGGGCAAGTCACCTCTCTCCTTCTCCTGCCCCCAAAGCATACCTCCTGCTGTTCCCTGGCAATGGGAACTCCATGACCTCCTCTGACTCTGATCCTAGCCTCGCTGTCCCACCGGGGATCTCCTTCCTTCTTTCCTTCCTTCCTTCCTTCCTTCCTTCCTGCCTGTGCTGGGGATGGAACCTAAGACTTCATGCAGGCTAGGCAAACTGCCACTGAACTACACCCCAGCCTAGGGATCTGGTTCCTGCCCTCTCTAGTATAGATCTTCTCTGGGCTGGGGCTCTGGGATACCCTGGGAAAAGCCTGCCTGAACCCACCTTGAACCCAAGGTCTTGGAGGTTAGGGATGGTTCCGAAGAGCACCCTCCTCAGGTGTGAGAGTTTCTAGTCACCCCAGGTCTGAGGCTGTGCAGAACCTGAAGAAGAGGAAGACCAAGTCATGTAGCCAGGAACCCTAGAGGCACTCACCTGTCAGCCGGCCTCGACTGGGATATTTGCATGTCATTAGCATGTGGTTTACATAACCCAGAAGCACACTTTCTGGTTTCCCCACTCTAGGCTTTAGGGCGCCAGGAGTTCCCACTGAGAAGTCTTATTCTCCCTTTCCTCTTCCTCTTTCTCCTCCTTCTCCTCCTCCTCCTCTTTCTCCTCCTCTTTCTTCTTTTGTTTTGTTC